CAGTTTTGTTTCTACAAGAACAGCAGCACCGATCTGAATGCACGTCGGCATGTCAAAACCTTAGTAGAATAACTTCCTCCCGCAACGGTTCAGAATCTCAGAGCCTTGGTATTTCGCTGAAGAGAGTCCAACTCTCTTGAGTTAATACCTTGGGACCTTATCAACTAGCTTCTGCTGTTTTTCTCTGATAGGAAATCTGTTCCAATTTCCGCGTGCTAGCTCCTACTACTGATATCGTTCCTGTGGAGCCTTTTCTGATGTGCTAAAATGGCATCGCGTGGTCTGTCTCCTTCGTTCAAAACGGGATGCTGATTGGTATATTCGTCGTACATTCGACTCCTGCAGAGAGGTCGAGCTGCGTGTGTAGATGCTTTGCCACTGCGCAAAATCTGATTCAGCATTGGCGCTGTTTTGTTGCATGTTCATTTCTCTCGGCACTGTCCAAACATGGCTCTCTCCTTGAAACATGGGACATGAGAGGCCCAAGCCCAATCCTATGTTCTTTCGCTTGATCGACTTACTTCGGCGAAGTGGGTTACCAGCTACTCTGCTCGCAGAACGAAGACATTCGATGTCCTGTAGAGAGCTCTACTTTTGATAGAGACCTACATCTTGCATTATTCGATAGGCGCTTCGAACTGTTTTACACCAGACAGCTGAACCATTAATCAGAAAGTTTCACTCACCTCAGTAATCTCCAACGGCAGAGTCGCTGTTCATACGCAATATGCATGGAAGTGTTCAGGATGAATAAATATTTAGTGTACTTTATTCAAGTATGTTGTAACATGGCATTCACAATCGAGACGACAGAGTAACTCAGATCTACAGTATGCTTAGAGTTTCTACTTGTTTTGGAAATGGCAAAATGATTTTACACAGCTGATTTCCTAACTGGCTTCTACAGCATTGACGGCGATCGTCTGCGTCATTGCCTACCTCACATTTCCGTCTAAAGATCTTCATACATGGCTTATTTCAAACAGTGATTAACAGGGAGGAAACAACTGTTGAACAGCACTGTACAGGAAACAAGCACTCAAAGTACTAGTTAACTAGTGCAAACGTTGGCAACTTTGGCGACTAACGAAAGCACGGAAAATTTTTTCAAAACTTAAAGCTGTGCAGATCTGGGAATCTAGCAAATGTGGGAATAAATGTCGTCATGAATAAGAAGATGCAAAAAGCCGATAAGAGATCATTACGGAAACCTATCAAATAAGCAGTTGTGACGAGGAAAGCGATAGTTTGATCAAGTTCGCTGACTTTAGCCAAATTTTAATCCTCGGCGGATTAATTTTAAGGAATAGCGAAAGTGGATATTGCTTATGTTATAAAAAATGAAAGCAAACGTCAATGCGAAGCACCGCTAAACCGCTTACCGACCACTAGAACAACTGGTGGCCTTTCGAAAACAGGTTGCTGTTGTGCGGCCACGGATGTTGGCGACTTCTTCTCCGCTTGATATTCCGTGACACTTTTTTGTTTGCTCTGATCCTGCTCTAAAGCACTATCTACTGCCGGTTCTCCTGATTCTGATGGTGTGTTCTTTTGAGACGATTCCGGTGCCTGTTCAGATGCTTCCTCAGGAGCCATTGCGACAACCGCTGCTTCGTCAGGGGAAATGATCTTCGAGTCGCTCCGCGCGGTGCTGGTTCTCGATCCTTTTATTGGCTGCTCGACTTGCTCTGCCTCCCTGTCTTTCGTACCTTCTAAATGCACTCACAGAACGGAGCAGGTTACAGAAAATTTTGAAGCAATGATTAGTCGAACCTGCAAACTCGACTGACTTTTTTATCGCGTTATGGAGTTGTTCAAGTATGGCAGCGTCAGTCTGCTCTCCTGGAATCTAAACAGAGCTCGTATCCTGATGCACTGGTCGCCCAAATGCCATTACTATAGTTAGCAGTTGCCGCTCGTCAAAATACTTTGTGGCATTCAGGATTCCGGAAATGTACGACTCTAAGCAAGCGCTGCGCATGGCTTCGTCAGAATACTTGGTCGACAACTGATTTTTCAGTTCGTTTTGGTCGTAATCAACTATGATCGCCTGGCACACCTGACCGATCTGAAAAAATTGATTAGATAATTTATTATCCGAAGAAATAATGCCAGTATCTTCAAGTCGTTAGTCATGCTTTCAGCTTGTTCAAGGGTTTGTGGGTAGCCATCGAGGATGATCAATTTGGCGTCGCTGCACTTTACCAGCTTTGACCTTATCAACTTGACTAATGATTGCGTAGCGACGAAGTAGCCTAAAAGCTGACGTTGAAATGTTGTTTTTGCTTCCAGTCGATCCCTTCCGTAATTTTACCTTGTGAAAACTGTGCCTTCGCCTCTTTCCATTCATCATGACTCTCGCCATATTTTTCAATTGCCTTAGACAGCAAACCGACTACGTCTACGTGAGCGATCTCGCCGACTTTAAAATCACACGTGAAATGAGTTATATCAATGGCCTTATACCACGGACAGCCTTAAAATGACTCTGTAGCCGGTAGGGACAATAAATGCACGTCGCCTAACAAAGTATGACAACGACAGGTGCCTTCGGCAGCTGAGAAGTACTCGTTCTGCTTGAAATGGAGATGGACGTTTTCGATTGCACTGGTGACGCTGCAATTTTATCTTCTTCTTCGTTTTCTCTCTGCGTGCCTTTTCTGCTAGCGGATTTCACCTTTGCTGACGGAGTGCGAGATTTGGCTTTAAATACATTTAAGTGATGCAACATTCACAACTGTCGGCAGACAAACATGATTACGAATGATTTAAGCCATCATCGCAAGTGACATTATCCTGAAGGAGCCCATTCGTTGTGTAGGCATGAACAAAGGTTTAGATTTTCAAGGCTGTTACAACTAAGTCAATTATCGACAAAACATTTGCTAAAGCTTGGGGTAATCAAAACAAGTTGCACGACGACAAATTTTTTTTAAATAAAGGACATCCGTTGAAAATAAGTATTAGAGTTCAGATGTAAATAGCCTCGAGCTTTATATTGAATAATACCTTATGATACATGATGATACTTAAGTAAAGTAAGTGCAATCGTTAAATTTTAACTCATCGTTAAACGCAATCCCTCCTTAGTTCTACTGTCGCGCATCACTGGTTCATCCATGCCATGAAAGTTTGAGAATTATACCTGCCAAGTGGAAGAAACAAGAAGCTAACACTCACTAACCTACGCTTGGCCAGCCTGGTGAGTCTGGTCACAGTTTCTAACAGCGCGCGCGCGGAAATCGCAACTAAAACTGAAACCACTGCCTTCATTCCCTGGAGGCTGAGTTTTCGCCAGCGAAAGCAGCAGCTGGTCAGGTATCAAAGAATTAGATACGAAGAATGGTCGGGTTACGGATCAAAGCTGTTACGGTTTATTAGCACTGGCAGTGTGCAGTGGTAGATCACTTCTAGTGAAACAGCCTCAAGAACTGAGAAAGAATGTCAGGAAAATCAAAGAGAATGTTATAGTGTTCAGCAGAGTTTCATGACAGGAGGAGAGGCGGTTACAGTTTTAAAGTGCCACCTCCCGTTCTACGCAGAATCAAAAATGAAAGTACAGACGGAGTGGGTTTCATTATCAACAGAGGACTGAAGAAGAATCTCTTGCAAGCGAACAGCACTTAGAAGAGGTGTACAAGCCTGGTTCTGAGAGTTTCAAGCAGATACAAGTCCCAAGTGATCCAAGTATACGCGCTAATGTCAGGCTATCCTAAGGAAGATATTGAAAATTTTTACGACAAAGAGAGAACGATTGCAAGTTCATCACTGGTAATTTCAACGCCAATATCAGATCACAGCAAGGAAACGAATGTCCTGTATGCCGATTTAACGCCAGAGAATGCGCCAGGTTGTTAAGTCAGCGTTAGGTGTTATTTGATAGCAAGTCAGAGTTGATATAATTGCAGGTGATCATCTGTTTCAATGACCTGATTTATCCGTTACGTCACACATCATTCGGAAACTCTCTGCGTGCAGAATGTGAAACTCTCGTTATAAATATCAACTTCAAAGTTCGCATCTTCGTCTGACGATTTCACTGTGACTATAACGCTGGCTCGTAAAATTAGCATGTCTCAACGTGAACATTAAAAATTGTGAGTTTGAATTTATGGAGCTTTCAGAAGTCTATTTCTGCTTCCTTTGTGACTAATTTCATCATATTGCATATCAGCAAGAAATTCTCTTTGAGGGTAAAGCATGCGTTTTGTCACAAATGCATCTACTATGTTTCATTCATTGTATTGTACCAATTTCTGAACTACAAACAAATTATTACATTATCAATCTGTTTCATAGAATTTCAATGGACTGAATAAAACATTCGAAGTTGACCAACGATGAACTAAAGGAAAGGCAAAAATAAATTACATCATAATAAAAGCAGTTTTTATTATACGAAAATATGCACTACCCCGCAGAAATAAGTAGTAATGTTCCCATTATGACAGTTATTCATAATGAACTTTATTCTTTCATCCGTGTCCCGATATTTCTTCAACTTGACTGGTGGCTGGTGACGGCAGCAAGTTGTTCACAGCATATTTCTCGGCCCTTCTGCACTCTGCGCAACCCCATCAATAAACTTATATACCGACGGGTGCGACATTCTCAGTTGAGAGTTCGTTGTTGCACTGCCTCTGCAAAATCATTTGTACGGTCTTCACTGTGGATCAGCCTACAATAAAACGACCACATTTTTGATGGAAACAACGCCGGTCGTCTTGTACTTTCTCTACGATTTAATTCAAGCGACCGATGTAGTTGTTTTAAAATCACCCAAGAAGTGGCTGCACCTCGTTGGGAAGTTCTTCCTCCAGTCCCGCAATGAGTACAGGCGCTGTTATCATCCTCGCTTTTAAGGCTAAACCAGCACCCAGCAAATTCAGTTCGCCCAAACGCTTCTTCTTACTGCAATTCAGATCGTAGAAACAACCATGAACTTGAACATAGCGGAACGCGTTCTTCATTGCGTGCATATGTGCAGTTTCAAAATTTCGACCAATCGAATCCGGAGAAAGTTCAGGTACCGCTGCTTTCACTATTTGGAAAAGCCTGTTGTAGGTAGCCTCCTGCTTATTTGGTAAAATCGTTTGTACAACAGAATGGAAATCACCAAACCTTTTCGCTTGCACTGTATGATTTGCAAAAACTGGCGATGCAGGTCGAAATATTCCATCTGCAAACCACGTTCTTGACTCCCTCAAGATCTGCAGGTTTCTCTGCATATCAAAGACCAGTGTCCAATAGACCCAGGTCTACTATCGCCAATAAGAAACTGATCAATAGCACTTGCTGGCGGCTCCTATCTTTTATACGATTCCGGTAGAACCAATGTTGCTAAATTCAGCGCAGCTGGTGGAGCAGCGTCCATATTATTATTCCCTTTACTGTTTATGATTTTTTCAAGAGCAGGAAAATTTTAAAGAGAACCCTGAGCTCCTTGCGAGAGTCCAGCTGTGTGTACTCGTTAATGACTTGTACTGTCGCTTCCATACTATCTTCGGCAAGACTTTGATTCTGGTGACAAGTTCAGCCATCTCCACACCAGCGGCTGAATTGTCATGAGAGTGTTCATCAGATTTCATAATGACGGTCGTGCCTGCTTTGTGAATCCTTGCTTTACAGCGCTGTTTTTGTTCACAGCGCCAGAACCTCTTTGTTCCGTCGCCACTTTTTCTGTCAAACATGTAACAAAACCCTTCGAATATTTCCCGATCGCGTTTCGACAGCAACATTGTCATCCTCAATGCACTCTATGACTCGCGCGTCCCGAATCCGCGAAGAGTGTTTAATGTTAGCAGTGGTCACATTCCATTGGGTGTATGGTTTCACGATGTTGCGTAAAATTGGATAATTAAATCAAAATTTTTTGGAATTCGAATGTTTGACTAAAGTTTCGCAGTGTGTCCGTAAATAACTGCCCATTTACAAAGAATATGATTAAAGGAGATCGAAATAGATGTCTGCAAAGTACAGAGATTCCAATTCTCGGCTAAATGACTGTACACCGATTTATTTACCCGTCGCCTCCATTGCAGTGAAATCGTAAAATATCATGGGATTTTTTAAGTTTGGCAATCTACTGATGGATGAATGATGATTAAGTAAAGTATCTCATACTTCAATCCATCAGTCTGTTACATAGATTCAACTCGCAGCTAGGTGACTGTGTGTTGATATATATGACCTCGTGTCATCAACATCGTGCGACCATTAAAAATACTTAGCAATTCAGTGCTTTGACAAAAGTTACGAATTATGTTCAGAGGGAGCTTTTCATTGGTACGGAACATGGTGAAATTAGTCACGAAGTAAGCAAGGATTTGAATCTGAAAGTTTCATAGATTTAAACTCGTGATTGTGCCGATTTAATGATCTTGCCGTAATTGTCACGATGAAATCCTCAGAGGAAGATGCCAACTTTGAAATTAATACTTATGACGAAAGTTTCATATTCATCTTACAGATTTATAAACAGCTTTCGAGCGATGTACAAAGTCAGGGTTTAAATGAAGTAATTGATACAGATGACTACGTCCAATTATATTAACTCAGAATTCTGATGAAATAACAGTGCTCTGACTTAGCGAGCTTGCGCAGTCACCACAATGGAGTCATAAATAAAATGAAAATCATCGCACTCATAGTTTACCAACGGCTTCGCATTGTACTCGCACAGAGAAAATCCATTCATAGGTAACATGAAGGGCGAGGTCAAATCATTGATACAGATGACTATCTGTTAACGACATTACTTCATACTCCTCTCAGGCTGCGTGCTGATGTATTGACATCGCACAGGCGTCGCAACTGAATTGTAATAAGAAATTCAGTAGTTTCATAACGGCATCGTACTTCACTCACAGAGAGCTATCCGTCGATATATAATTTGATGCACTGAATGACGCAGTTCATGCAGCTGACCACTGTCCACTACTACAGATTCAGTGTGCTGACTGCAAGACCAAACGCTGACACTAAGCCGCGGTTGGTGCTAAAACATCATAGACCGCTTTCCTTAATTCCACATCTACCAAAGTCACCTGTGCACGGAAAAGAATGAACAATTCCCTGCGTAGTCCTGCCATTTGACCCTCATTATGCATCGAAGTCAACGCTGCTGCACGCAGTTTATTGGTCATTTTTGCTTCTTCGTTAGAACAACTGTCTCAATGCCTTGAAACAACAGTGACCTGATAGGAACGATACAGACGGATTTTCGTAGGAGGAGTAACTGCTTATCAAAAATCTGAACTATTACTTAGTAACTGTTTTCTCAGCGCAAATATTAGACACGTTTACAAAACCACTCGTGGCTAGGGCGAAAATTCCTTTTAACTCTGGTTGGAAATTATGGGACTCAGATACTTAAAATGATCAATCTTCTGAAGAGCTTCATTTCTCTGTTCCACGGGTAGATCAGCTGTGTTGGATGGATTCCTCATAACGTTTGACTTCCGGGCGTTAAAGAGGAAGCCAGCTTTCGCAGCGGTGTTACATACGAGAGCAGTCCTGAACTGTTTCCCATACTGCTCACCAGGACATCATCATCTGCACATTACAGGTCAGCAAAACATGTTGGACTGCGCTTGCTTTTTAGAGGAGCGTTTCTTCTTTGCCGGAATCACCACTGTTTCACAGAAGAAAATCGACTATAATGTTGATTAGCAACGACGAAGCACATCTCTCTGGCGAACTTCACTGTTAATTAAGAACCACTCAAATAGCTTTGCTTCAAGTTCGACAGCAGACATGCTTGCGGCATGCATCTCTTTCAAAATAGAAACTATGT